GCTTGTTGCGTGCGTGTCTTTGTGCTTGTTGTGTGTGTGTGTGTGTGTTGCCTTGCCCTCACTGGACTTTGTCGCCCCTGCACGTTTCCCCCATCCCCACCCCACATCTCACGCTGCTCCGCCTTGGTGCGGGTCACGGGTGCGCAGGGCAACCAGGCGTTTGCGGACTGCATCCGGCAGATTGAGCAGCTGCCAGACATCGAGCGCTTGACGTTCAGGGATTTCGTCGCAAAGCCGATGCAGCGCCTCACAAAATACCCGCTCCTCATCGAGGTACACGCAGCACTCGTGGTGATCGCTGTTGATGTGGGGTTTCGCTGGCTGAGGGCCCAGGATTTGTGGTTATGTCCTGGGACAACGTGTGTGTGTGTGTGTGTGTGTGTGTGTGTGTGTGTGTGCGCGCGCGATGTTGCATGTCAACGTGTGTTAGCTTTCTCGCCAACTGATGTGCTGCCACGCACTATGCTGTCATTCACACAAACAGGGCATACTCAAGGGAACTGTCGACGACAACACACGCGAGCGCGAGGACCTGGAGGAGCTGTTGCAATTGGCAAAGGGTGTCTTGCAACACGTGCAACACGTCATCCGCAGCACAGAGGTGCGCGTGCCGTCTGCGTATCGCTTGTCGTATGGTCTGATTCACATCGTGTGTGCAACTTCCCTCTCTCCCCACAGCGCTTGCCTGGCACCACATGTCGTGTCTCATGCCTCCCCTCTGTCTGTGTTGCGTGTGTACGACAGGACAAGAAGCGGCTGTGCGAGATTGACGACAAGCTCGACCGCTCTCAGCTGGACCGGCTTGAGAAGCTCATGCTCAACGACCTTCCAAGCTCCGGCTTTGAACTCATCCACGAAGGTACGCTGTGCCCCTGTGGTTTGCGTTTCTTGTGGCTGTGTGCGTGTGTGTGTGTGTGTGTGTGTGCGTGCGTGCGTGCGTGTGTGTGTGTGTGTGTGTGTGTGTGTGTGTGTGTGTGTGTGTGTGTGTGTGTGTGTGTGTGTGTGTGTGTGTGTGTGGTACAAACCCGACCATGATCACGGTCGCTTCTTCTCACATCCGTTGCGTGTCCCCGCCATGTTGCACACCGCGTGCTGTTCTTCAACATATTGCAGATGCACTGCAGCTCAAGTGCGCCGGGAAAATGGTTGAGATTCGATGCATTCTCCTTACACACGCCGTCATCTTCTGCCAGCGAAAGGACGAGCGCCTCGTCGTAAAGGTGCATCAAATCAGACATGAAGGAGAGCGAGGTGGAGAGCTGGAGATAACCGTTCAGTGTGTGTGTGTATGTGTGCATATCCCGTGATGGTAGTGGTAGCAGTCGCGATGCTGTTGCAATGGCATGTGAATATGTTGTGCGATTGCGTGTGTTGAGACGTGTGTTGGTGCTGGTGTTGTTGTTTCTCGCGAAACGATGTGCGTTCGTGTGCGTTTGAAGAGGCAGAGAGCCCCTGTTACATTGTGAACGGATTTCTGGCTGAAGAGCAAATTTGAGTTCATTAAACAACCGCAAGCAACACACGGTGCCACAAAGGTGATTCGGGGGAAGCGCAGAAGGGTTGAGTTAACAGTAAACACGAAGCAGCAGTTACAACACACACACACACACACACACACACACACACACACACACACACACACACACACACATGTCACATCACACACAGATCCCATCACAACACGAAGCAGCAGCAGCAGCACAGATTGGGCCCCTTCATTTGCTGTTGATGGGAACGTCGGCGCCAACGGCTGCGGATACAGAGGAGAAGCCATCGGCAGCGAGCAGTTGGGGCAGGTCACGTTTGATGGCATGCACGACACCAGGGCCCTCAATCGCCATCGCCGTGTACAGCTGCACCAGGGACGCCCCGCTCCGGATCTTGGCATATGCGTCTGCAGCACACGACACGCCACCGACGCCAATCAGGGGCACGCTGCCGCCCGTCTTCGCGTACACCTTGGCCAATACAGCCGTGCTGGCATCGCGCAGCGGCCGCCCGCTCAGCCCGCCGCCTTCCTCCCTGTGCTCCGATTGCAGCGAGGCTGGACGGGCGATGGTGGTGTTGGACACAATGATACCGTCAATGCCAATCTCTTTCACGACGGCGACAATGTCGTCAATGTCCTGGTCCGTGAGATCCGGCGCGATCTTGACCAGCAGCGGCGGCGGTGATGCGCCCGGCCGTGACGAGAAGTCGAGCGAGTCGCGTGTGCGCTTCACTTCGCCCAGCAGTCGAGACAGCGCAGCGCGGCCCTGCAGCGCCCGCAGGCCCGGTGTGTTGGGTGAGGACACGTTGACCACGACGTAGTCTGCGTAGGGCGCGAGCGCGCGCATGCCGGCGCAGTAGTCGAGGGCGGCGTTGTCCTGTGTTTTGTTCTTGCCCAGGTTCACGCCAACCACACCGCGGCGGGCGGGGTGGCTCCACGGCCACGCAAAGCCTGCTCCGGCTGTTGCTGCTGAGGATGGTGGCTGCGACGCGCCTGAGGTGCTGAACTGCA